AATTTCACACTATAATTACGTTAAGCACAGAGTTAAAATATAAAAATATTTAATTTTTTCCAAAATACCTTTCTTTAATTCAAATGAACATTATACACATATACATACGTCATTTACATACATATGTAATTTGCAATAGCACCAGACAGTGGAAATCTCAAAGAATCATAATTTACATAAAAGTTTTTTATTTTTTAATTTATTTTTAAACTTTTTAGTGGCTTTGATAAGTTTGGTTCATGCAATTTGCGGAAAGATTTTCTCTTGCATTTTATAAACAAAAACCCAACGAATGTCATATACATATGTAGGTGTAATGGATTAGCATGTCTATAAGTACTATGTGTGTATAAAAAACATGTATTATTGCAGAGAAAATATTACCGTTATTTTTATTTATATAGATGTTGTAAAATTTTGAGTGGAAAAAATTAGTTATTTATTATTGCTTTGATAATGTATCCAATAACTGTGTGTAAAAATTTGCAAATGTCAAATGATGTTGACTTTTAGTTGAATTAATTTTCCATGCAAAGTTTTTTGTGTGTGAATCGCTGATATTACTTGAAAGAGATATTGTTGGGACTGTTGGATGTAGGAGAAAATTAAATGTGTAATATTTATGTAGCAGACAACTGAAATATGGCTAACAGACGCATGAACGCAGTAAGCATTGTTAATAAAATATCTATTTTCTCTTTACGATCACGGCGATGTTCGAGTAAATATCTTTCGTTGTAATTAACCGCGTTACCGACGCATCTGAAAACCATTCGATCCATCCGGACCACGAGGCAAACGTAAAATGCTCTCTTGCTGTTGTAGTCTTAAAGCTGATGATGACACGCTGCCGCCGACTACGGGCGACCATGTTTGATGTTGGTTCTGTGGTTGTGGTTTCGGTTGTTGGTGCTGATGCTGTAACGTAGTCGGTAGCGGAAGTGGCAGCAGCGCTGACATTGAACGGGTGTTATAAGCGGGTGGTATCTGTTGTTGCTGTTTCTGTTGCTGCATATAATAATAGTTAGATTGTTGCTGCTGCTGCTGCTGTTGTTGTTGTTGCTGCTGCTGATGATTGTAATAGTTATTATACATATTAAGTGGCGAACCATTACCACCACCGCCACCTCCGCCTTTGCCACCAGACTGATTGACTTTGGGGGAAGTGGTGTTGCCCTTGTATGCATTGTTTGTGCTGACAGTCGTGTTGACAGTGGCGGTTGTTGATGCAGTCGAATTATTTGAAGCGTTTGACGCGCTGACAAAGTAGAAAATAAGTGATTTTAAATGAGACTTTAGCAAGTGAAGTCGCTTAGGTTACTCACCCCACATCATCTTCGGGATTTTTTGCTGATCCTAAAATGCGTAAACGGGCTTCTGCGTATTCCTGCTCACGTTGTTGTAACGTTTTAATGGGCTGACGCGGCTTAATACCATTATTACGCGGCTCCATTGACTGTGTTGGACGACGGAGTATCTTCACAGTCTGCAAATTGGTTGGTGTCGCATAATTCTGAGACTGGAACTCGTCGGCCGGTTTATGTAACATCATCATAACCGGCTGAAATGAAGCTGCCATATCGTCCAGTGGCGATTTTAAATCAGCGGCAGTGGTAGTACCGCCTATTGCGGCTTGTACATCGCCACTACTGTTATTTGCGTTGCGCTGTAGTAATTTCATCGGAACGGTTGCGGCGACAGCAGGTGTTGGAAACTCAACTGCGGAGAATGTAAATTGTTTTAGATCACCTGTTGTTGAAGTTGCGTTTGTTGCTTGGGAAAACACTGCAAGCGAAGAATTTGCTGAACTTGTCGAAGTTGTCGAATTTGTTGGCAAATTTGAGCACTTTTTGGCACTATCGGTTTTTTGAGGTTGTGTATCCTGTTGTTTTTGTTGTATCTTCTGCAATGTATCTGTCAACTGAAAATTAAGGAAAATTAATATATGAAATCTTTAATTCGAAAATTGAAATATTGGATGCATATTACTTACGCCAGCTTCATCAATTTCCTCCCAGTTGTCTAGCACTTCGTCACCATTGGACATTTCTAGCTGGCGGCGTTTTGGTGGACTGGTGTGTGCAAACTTCTTCACACCCGAAGTTGGAAACAAGTTGTATGCTTCAGTGTCCCCCTATATCCTTCTAAAGCACACAGATTTTCCACGTTGTGAGAATTTTTATAAACTTAACGAATTTTAACAACGTTCAAAGCTTTAAATTGCAACACAGCAATTTATCTTTTGCTAAGAAGTCTGTCACTGTGCGTTTTTTTTTTTTTGCCTTTAATCGCTGCTTGCGTTGTAGGGCCGTCTAATGCTGCTGTTGCTCTGCCTTTCACTTTCGTCTTTTCCTGCTGCTCGCACTGTTCCGCTTTCCTTTACTCATGAATAATCCATGTGTAGGTTTTAAATAATTATTATTGTTTAAAATATTATTTTCCCGACTGCCTTTGGCAATGCAAATAAATTTAAAGAACTTCTCAACGATTATATGGTCGCCCTTTCTATTACGTTTACTGACAATAGCAGCGCTGCTACTGTTTCCACAACTTCCAGTTCCTCGTTGTCTTTTCACTATTTCTTTCGCTTCAGCCAGCGTTGCAAATTTTCCACTACACAATGTCTTCACGCTTTTTTTAGAATTTGCCTTTTCTATATTTCTATAATTAATAGCAAATTTTACAAACTGATTTACGTTTACACTTCGAATTTCACACGTTTTTTAAAATTAATTAAAATAGAATGTGTGAAATTTGGGTGGAATATCAAATTTATATTTTCCTCTGCCACCGCTGCTGCTGCTGCTGCTGCAACTCCGCTACTTCCACGAATCACGACTACGACGATTAGGAAAGGAACGATGAGCAATCACAAAGAAACGATAAAATATAAATGCAAGAAAACTGTGGGATGTGGATCATAAGTGGGTCTGTTCCCTTACATCCATGCAAGATGTAAAAGTACAAAATTTCCAACTGATAACAAAAAACAGCTGATAGTATTGAAATAATAACATTAATGTATATGAAAATTGGCGAAATGCTTCCACAAAATTATAGAATTGAGTTTTTAAGCAATTACAAAGAAACGATGATATAAAATATATGTACAAGAAATTGTGGAATGTGGATCACAAGTGGGTCTGTTCGCTTACTTCCATGTAATATGCAATTGTAGAAATTTTCCAACTGATAAGAAAAAACAGCTGATTGTAGTGATATAAAAACATTAATGTGTACAAAATTTGGCAAAATGCTTGCAGAAAACTACAATATATGTTAACTATGAGTTTTTAAATAATTTTCTCAAAAATTATAAATTATCCAGGCAAATAGATATAAATATTTGTGTAAATGTAGAAATTTTGACATACATAGCATAATAGAAAAGGACCGCTTTATTTACTAAATCAAAATTTAAAAAAATGCTCAGGTGCACTTTTTGTGTTGTTATTTTTATGTACACGTATTTCTGTATTTACGATTTCATAACATAAAATTAAGATTATAACGGCGTTGTAATTTGCGAACACCGCTGAACTCTAATGACATTTTTCTTTTCATATCTCCAGCTGACATTCTTGATTAATAATAATTTTGATCTTGTTTCTTTCTATTTTTACATCCTCAATTAACCAATAACAACACGCTATTACAGCAAAAGAATTAAAATTAATCAGTGCAGCATTGTGGATACGTATATACAAAAGTAATATTAAAGCCTTTAAATTAAAAGAGTCACAGCAAATCGCAAAAATGGATTTCACAAGTTTTGCAAAACCCAGTAATGTGGACGCAAATAATGATAAGAATTCGACGGATTTACACTTTTGGAAACATGTTGAATATATTGAAAATCATGGAAAAGATCAGGACGATTACGAATACTGCATGACCGAATTTTTACGTATGTCGGGTATATATTGGGGTGTTACAGCCTTAGATATAATGAACCAGCTGGATCGCTTGGATCGTACATCGATAATAGATTTCATACGCCGCTGCCAATGTCCGGTTACAGGCGGCTTCGCGCCTTGTGAAGGTCACGATCCCCATATATTGTACACACTTTCTGCCATACAAATTCTATGCATTTATGAAGCTTTAAATGAAATAGATTGTGAAGCAGTTGTGCGCTACGTAAGTGGTTTACAACAATTCGATGGCAGCTTTTTTGGCGACAAGTGGGGTGAGGTGGATACACGTTTTAGCTTTTGTGCTGTTGCCATACTTACACTATTGGGACGTATGGAGGGCACAATTAATGTTGATCGTGCAATCAAATTCGTAATGTCATGTTGTAATCAAACCGATGGTGGCTTTGGTTCGAAACCGGGCGCCGAATCACATGCCGGCCTCATATACTGTTGTGTGGGCTTTCTTTCGCTAACACAAAGTTTACACCTGCTCGACATCGATAAATTGGGTTGGTGGTTATGTGAACGACAACTCACCTCGGGTGGTCTAAATGGACGACCAGAAAAACTGCCTGACGTCTGCTACTCATGGTGGGTACTCTCTTCGTTAACCATTATGGGACGTCTACATTGGATTAGCGCCGAAAAACTAAAACAATTTATACTAACGTGTCAAGATAGCGAAACTGGTGGTTTTGCCGATCGTACTGGTAATTTGCCTGATATATTTCATACACTTTTTGGCATCGGTGCACTTTCGATATTGGGCTTTGAGGGACTCAAAGCAATTAATCCCACACTGTGTATGCCACAGTATGTAATCGATCGTTTAGGTATCAAACCGCAAATATTGTCAAAACCATAAAATGGAAAATGTAAAGCGAGTTGATTTTCTGTAACAGCCATTCTACGCAAAGTTTTAAAATATTCTGTAAAGTATATAAAGTTTGCACAGCTCCAAAAAATAAGCAATTGAAAATAAACTTGTAATTGCTATATTTTATTATTTGTTTTTATTAAGTATGTATAAAGAAAATGTAAACTAAAATTGTTTTAATTCCTATATGAACCGTATCAAAGATATGTGTATTTTTTTTATTTTTATTTGTTTACACTCAACCACAGTTAGTAAATGTAATAGTCAAGATAAAATAAGAAAGCAGAATTAAAGACCTTTGTGTTAAATAAGCGATAAAATGTACAATAATAAATAATATATTTAATGAAAACACGTAATGCCTTTTCTACTTGTTTTCACTCTTACACATATTTTACACACAAAATATTTTCATAGTAGACGCATTTCACATATTAAATATTGTTTACACAAGAATCCACACATCATGATCATACACAATAAACAACAACATTATAAGTTCCGTTGCATGTCACAGCAATCGAAGTATTGTTTAGCGATAACTACATGCCAAAATAAATTTTAGACAGCAAGAGCGTTTATAATTCATTTAAATTTTTATTAATTAAGTTATTATTATTTAATAAAGTACAGTACAGCATTAGATCGTCATTTGCAACAAATTGCAATTTTTTTTATATTTACACAATTTAAACAATATACTACTACAGTCATATAGGTTTAAAAAAATTGTTTGTTTTATATACACGATACATTATAACATTTAGGACGACTATCTAACACAAATTGATAAACTCAATACCAACACATAGTGTTAAAAGATTAAAAACTATGATAAGTTAGACACAAGTACATCCCAATTATTCACAAAAAAATCAATTAAAGTCAAACTAGTATAATACGTTAAGATTATCGCATTAAAATAAAAGTTACAACATTTTAGTTTACTAAGGCACTAAGGCGTTTAGCTACAACATACAATTATTACCGCTAAGTCCTAAATAGCCTCGAGTATTTGCACATGTCTACCGACAGCCGCCGCTGCACTGGCTTTAGAAATATTGGGTTCCTAGTTACGTTCTACAAAGCACTTTTAATTTTTATACTACCAATTCATTATTACTATGTAAAAATTTTTATATGTATACTTTTTGGATGTGTTTGCGATATTTTCATTATTGTAATTTAGATTTAGGAATTGTATTTGTCATCGCTGGTCAAAACATTGTACGCACAGCCCAGCGCCCATGAAATTTCATGTCCATCGATTTTTTTATAAAGCTGCATATTAAAAACGAAACATTGTTATTGAGAAAATACAAAAAATCAAGTTTATTTAGTATTACCTTTATTTTCTTACTATCACCCAATCCGTAGCCTTCACGCAACAGAACCGAAATAAAAGTCAAATCGAAACACATAAAAGGCTGTTCGTCGTTCGCAATGCTGCATATTTCTTCCGCCTTTTTGCGGTAAGCAGACACTGTTATCTCACCGCCTTGGAACGGATCAATAAGCCCAGATTCTATGGCACGTTCGAAATAATAACTAAAAGCCGCCACCGTATGTTGCTTCAATGTGAAGGGTTTCGGTTCAACCAATGGCAAAACTTGAGTTTTGACTGCCTCTAAGCATTGTTCAAAGTCTACGATCGGCTCTTCAGTAGTAGATTTCGGATTCGGTTTGCCACTGTAAAGAAAAGTAGGAAATATTTAAAATATGCATCTAAACTTTGTAATTTGCATTCTCTTTACCTCACTTTATATTCTATATTCGAGTAAGTCCATGTACGATTGCTAATTATCGGATTAACACATACAGATTCCACATTATTCTCATCCTTACTGTAACCCTTTGTAAATACTGAGTGACGCGCCGCCATCAAACCTAACCCTAAATAGCTGTGCGTAAAAACAGCAATTTGCCGATTCAATGTATTCACTTCGTGCATATATTTTTCGTAGAGCGGTAACTGATCGGGGTCGGTAGGTGCAAATGTGACTTGAGTACTACCGCCACCCAAATCCAAAGCAGCAGCTTGATTGATTTTGGAAAGGCGGCCAAGCAAAAAGTTAACTGTAAACCACGAAAAAATTCCTTCGTCAGTTCCATCCATAATCTCTACTGCGTCTGGCTCAACGCTAAAACCCGACTTTTCGAAAAGTTCACGCACGGCATTTAAGAGATTTTTGGCTTTGTGTTGTGGCAGTAGCCTCAAGCCGGCTGTTGCTTTAAGCACTAAAGGCGTTGTTGACCATTTTTCCTTGGGTACAAACACTTTAGCGTCATCAAGTAGCAGTTTAATGGAATGTGCACCTTGAGATGGATTTTCCGCAAAAGACGAGAGTCCCGGCTTGCGTTCTTTGAAAAGCTCCTCAGATAAGACCAGCTTGTTGTCTTTAAAATTGTATGAATGAATTATTTTTAATTTTATGGTTGATATTAATAAATGAAAGGGTAAATAATTTCATATAATTTTTAATTACCAATGAAGCTTCTATCAAATTTGTATGCCAAAACGCGACTACCGGTCGAACCAGCGTCGATGATAACTGCAAACTGATTGCGTGTATAACCTAGTTTCGATGCCAAGCGTACCAAAAATGGGCTGGTGGAGTCCACGTACACACCTGTAGGGATCGTTATTATAACTTAATGTTCCAATTATTTTAAAAAATATTTACCGAAAAAGAATAGCAGAAATGTAGCTGACAACACTAGACAAAGAAATGAAAGCTTTAGTCCTCTAGGTAACCCCTTCGACCCACCACCGTTGGAACTGCTAGATTTTCGTCGAATGGTAGCAGCACCACCTGCTTGGTCATCATTTGTGTTCAACTACAAGCATTAAAGAAAAAATAATAATTGTTTGTGGTTTGTTCTTTCTCTTAGCAGAATTAACGTTATTTCGGCAAACTTACCAATTGGTATTCAAACATCATTATACTAAATTTAGTTAAACATGTTGTTGCGTTTTATGGTCTAAATAAACTTAAATTAAGCCAAACGGCTGTATAAATATAAAGTTTTACTTTGTAAAAGACTGTCTAGGTTTTAGTATAATTGTTGTAAATGCGGCAAACCGAAATGTCAAAAATAATTTGTTGTCGTAAAAGAAGGACGTGTGAAAAACAAGTACAATGATGTTATCGAAAACCAGCTGAGCACTTCAGCACGTATATCGTATTGTAGAATATAAGTAAACGATAAGCCGCATATCGTAATATTTCCTACATATTTTATTATATATTTTTTTAGGTATTAATCTAATAAATTATATATATAATATTAAATATTTTATATAACATATTTATGTAACGAAATATATAATTAAAAAAACTTGTGAATTTACTTTGCTATTTTTTGAATATTAAAATAAATACATATCGGTAAAGTTAATACAATGGGGTAATACTAAAATATTGTTCAAATAAATATATAGATTTTTTTTTATATTACTGTTAGAAAATATTTATTTTAAAGAACTTCTGTATTTGTTTTGCTAATTTTTTAATTTTATTTAAACATATTCTTTAATTAATAATTTAAATAATATTTTTTGTAAAAAGAGCAAATATTTTGAAATGTCATTTTACTAGTAAGAGTTCAAGATTTACCTGTGCATCAATTCAACGACAAGCATTTTGTTATCATTTTAAAAACATTCACAAATTATTATCTTATCTAAGATCACCGAATTTTAAAATTTTACAATAGAATTTATTACATATCTCTCTCTTATCAGTGAAGTGTGTATTCGTATAATTAGCATTAAGAACTACGGCAATAGTGATTATATATTTTGCAAGCACATTATGAAATAGCAAATGTAGTATGTCGGTATTTTCAGACATCTTGTTGGAAAAGCTTTGTAAATTAACTTTTTCTTATCATATTGCAATATTGTACTTGGAAGTGTACAGTAAATTAAATATATTACATTATTAAACTTAGATTAATTTTAAATTATTTCTTGGTTTTTATGCTTTTATATTCGTAGAACGCAAAGTCTCTATTTTTTTTTTATGCAGCTGACAAAAGAGTGGAGTTAGAAAAAAATAAAACATAATTTAAATCTATTCATGATAAATGAGCCCTGACCACAACAAAACTTCCCGTCACTATTTGTTTTTTTTTTTAATCACCAACAAACGCACTACAATAATGTCATTAAACTTGGCATCAAACGTGCAATTTTATATATAGAAAAATAAACTTTGATCAAACACTAAATAGCTTGTAGGTATTTGTAACGATAGAACTGCTAATTACTTAACAGCATCGCTGAACTTAGCAAATATATATGCATTTATATAGATATTAAAAGGCAAATAACCTATACAATATATTTTAAATTAGGTTAGTATTACAAAAAAAATATTTTAATGAAAAGTCTTTGTATTTGCAATTTAAGCGACAAGCAACAATTGAGATATGAACTAGTATATCCTCTTGATCCCGAAAAACTACGAATATACCTCTGAAAGTGCAAAGGTTTCTAATAGTTTATCCCATGTCATGGAAAGCTAAGCCGCTAAAACCTGTTAAAACCACAATTTATGCTATTGCTTATGCCTTCTGTAAGTCACTAAATTTCGGCTGAATTTCTAGCCTGTGGTTAGTTAGAGAAATACTAAAATTATAAAAATTTAAAACAAAGCATTTTTACTTTTACTCACCTTACGTTGCCGCACATCTTTTGGCGACGTCATCTTATTTTATTTGTTCGTTATTGTGTTTATATTAAAGTAATGCGCAAATAATATAAATTTGATTAAGTACTGCTAGACTGGTTAAATGGCGAGTTACGTGCGGCTAATTGAAGCGAATTACTTAACATTAACTTAATAAATATGAACAAAGCACTCTTTAGTGTGTTTACTTTATCTAGCACGACTCTACAAGTTGGGCATGTTTTCTTCCGTCGCGTTGCCCTATCTTCGAACTTATTAGTAGCAAGCGAATGTTCCAATAGCACACTATTCACTAATTTAATACATTGCGCTTTAATTCCACAGGAACTACTAAAATTTTGTGGCGAAATGAGACAGCGACCGGCAATGCAACAGCAGACAAACACACAAATATATAGAAATAATACTAAGTTAAAAAATGGCAGCCTTAAAAGTGAAAGCGCATGCAACGCTGTAGCATATGGGGTACACAAACATTTGTTGCTGTTTCTATCCCTTTATTTTGGTTTAAATGTTGGTGTTTTTTATAATAATAAGGATATGAAGCAATGACGAAAATAATATTAGTTGCAATTATTGCATCATATATAAATTAATTATTAAAAAACCCTATATACTTTGTATACTGTAATTTTGATATACTATTATAGGCTTGCTTAATATATATATAACAAATAATATTCTCAGAATGACATAAATCAAAACAATATCACCTATATTTGCAAATTTTTCCTACTCTTCCATATTTTAATATTATACGTTTTGCATCAATTCATTTCCTCTAAAAATATGGCAATGCCTATCTAGCAAAGTCAGCTGTTATACAGAGTTAAAATTTTAGTACTCTCCTTTTCTACTACCTTTTAGTACATCCCTTCTTAGTTTTTGTTGTTGCGCCAGTGTGATTTTTCATTAAAGTTGTGGTAGCTGAATAAATTAAAATAAATTGTTCTGCGAATTGTCATAGAAATCATTGCTCCTGCTGGCATATATAAAATAAATGTAGACGAATGTAAATAATTCTCGTATAGTTCTTGAGTTGTTTGGATGTGTTTTTTCATGCTCTTACAACGTTGTGCAAGTGTTTATAAATTAAAATTTTAAGTTGTGCCGACACGAAAATCAATTGAAGTAGGCGTGAAGAAAAATTCGAAATATTGAAAAAAAATTAACATAAAATCATTATACAATTTTACAATCTGAAAATATTTTTTACCAAACGCAATAAAATCAATTAGTGTTTAAAGCAGCTGTCACAGATTCATTGAAAAAAAGAAAGTATTTGAAATGAGTGAAAAAGTGAGCCAGCCGCTGACCAATGAAACCAGCTACGCCCAGGTGGCGACCGGCCTTAGTAATAACAATCGCCAAAGTCAAGATCAGCAGCAACAAACTACTGACCAACATTCAGTTGAGAAAAAAGAAGTACGCGTCTGGTGTGATGGATGGTGAGTCATTTTACAATTTCCCCTATGTCTGAAAGACCTTAAAAAAAATTTATACCCTATACATCAAAGGCACTGAAATGTTAAAGTAGTTGATTTTAGCTACTAAAATATTGACTTGACTACTAATATTATATAATGTTGCGTCATATATTCAGCAAAAGTTTAGAACAGCATAATTAAAATTGAGCAACTTTTGGAAATAGTTCGGTAAAAAACCAAACATAAAAAATATGTATTTAGTGTTGTGCTTTATTGATGCATTCACCAATAGTTTGCTTTGGGGTTCCGTGTTTTGAACACATGGCCACGATAAGTGGTAAAGGCAATATTTTCATGGTCAGAAGCTAGTCGCTTGTGCATGTCTACTATATGCCCTTGACATTGATGCAAGCAAAAATTTTGCATTGTCGTAAAATGCACAAGATACTCGAATGTTGTTGAAAAACCTAAAACGAAAAAAATGAAATGTCAGTCATTCGCAAAGTAGCCATTTACGATAGTCAGTCATTCAATTAGCGGCGATACTCACTTGGCAGCAATCAGTGTACATGGACATGTGTTTATTTGTGTGCCTACAAATATGCATACATATCTATATACGAATGCATTGTACATTACGCCTACATTGTAGTTCCGCTATGTTATTGATAAGGGTAGGCGAGTTCCGGCTGGACATGATAAGCCAGATACGCCGCCAAATGCCTCTATCTTTGTACATGTTGTCATTTTCTTCAAAAGTGTTGAACATTTGACAACTTTTGATTTGTTTGTAATCTATTGTTATTATTTTCCGGTAGAGATATTGAGTATTGTAGCCTTTTTCCACATAGGTATGTTATTAAAAATTAAATAGGCAAACATTACAACTTGCAAAGCGAAAGACCATCTTTAATGGTAATTAATAGATATTTAATGTATTCTCTGTAATTACATATGTATGTATGTGTGTAATATGCATTGCGCTACCACAATCATTCAATATTATTTGCATAATATAGCTATTCGCATGGAATTTTCCGCAGCTTCTACATATGCGCTAAAGCGCGCAGTATTTTGCAATGAAATCACCTCGCAGCCAATATGCCAAATGTTAATTGGTAATTAGCAAAGCAACTTGTCAATTTATACATATGCTTTTTTTTATATAAAGTGAGGGGAGACATGTTTCTTTCAAAAATATGGCAAAATAAAGTGTAGTTTATAAACAAATATTTAACTACTAAAATTCTTGCCTGAGGCAGATGTTTCTTGAGCCTGCAGTGCCCAGTGTAGAGCGCGACAAGGAGCCGGAGTTTGTCTCTGGGGAGGTTTATATTGTTGTTGTTGTAGCGGCAGAAATTCTATCGAGTTGACAGTCCTGGGCGGAATAAATCCGGGTCCGTTCCGGTTACGTAGACCCGACTGTCGTGGGGAGGTTTATCATAGCAGTCAGTCAGGGTTGCGAATATTTAACGAAATTTTTTAATCTCAAAATCGGAACTTATCATTGAAAATTTAATTTGTAATCTAAAAATATATTTTAAAATGGAGATTTAATTCTTTAAATCGAAAATTAGAGATTGAATTTATTTAACCCAAATTGTATGAATAAATTTAAAAAGAAATAACAATAAAAATTAGTAAAATATTTTTTTTTTTCAAATTGGAGTAACAAATAAAAACATTAATTCAAATATCATAAGCTGGAACGAAAAAAATACAAGATTTAACTAGAAAACTATACTTTAGATTACTTAAATATAAATAAGACAAAAGTGCAGCTAATGTTGATATTGTATTAATATAAGATAGATTAATATAAGGTAACCAGAAATGCAAAGGAAATTTGAATTGAAAAGCACAACTTTTAAAATTTGTAATTAAAAACTTGGGATTAATATTTTTTTATTTTTAAATTTGTTAATTTACATATTTTAGTTTTTTACTTTTTATCCGATTTTTGGTATTACACATTTATTTTTAATTTTTCAGTCCGGTATTTGGGGTTAGAAATTTGAAGTCATTTTAAAAAATATTTTCGTGATTAATTAATAATTAAAAAAAAATTAGTTTTATTAAAAATTTTATTTAAATGCTAATTTGTATTTTCAATGCATTTTTTGCAACACTGTTAACAATAAAATAATTTTCTAAACAAAATTCAACTGCGTAGTATGTTCTCAACAATTGCTTGAAATATAATCAGCATAAACAAATAACTGCAATGCACAAAAGCATAAATAAATATATGTATATATGTATGTAAATTTATATAAATAAATTACTATATAATCATCTGTTTGCATATGTTTCTCTGTTGTGAGTGATTTTCCTACTGTGGCGTGATGAGGGAAATGCCACAAGAAAAGTTCATTTGTATTTTTAAAATGATTTTACTTATTTATTGTATTGCCGTTGATTGTATTCATTATTTCTCATTTAAGGCGACTTAACGGGCGCGACTTCAATGTCAAGTCACGACTTTCTTTGCATTTCACATTTTCAATTCATTTCAATGCTACCGTGTTTGCAAATACAAAAGTGTCATAAAAGTAGAAAATATTCCACACTTATTTGTACTTACTCGTAAAAACTGTATTTATGTACGCAATACCTCTGCCGTTTATACATTTTTGTGTGATTTTTGGTTGAACTGGTTTGAGTTTGAATCTTAAGCGGTTTATTCAATTTCATTCATTTGTTGTTCCTATTGTTGCTGTTGTGATTTGACGCGTTTTATAATAGTTGTGTTGATACGCAGAAATCACGTGATTTGCCTGACCACCACATTCTACCATACGTCGTTAGTAAAACCATTTTTCATACTTGAGTATTTATGTTTTGCGCATGTCTGCGATTACAATTAACGAAATTTCTTTTTGTCGCTTAATTCATAGCGTAATTTAAGTGTAAGAAGTACAGAAGTTTAATTTTTTTGCAATAAAAATAAAAAATGCGAACAAGCAAAAGTATTAATTAAATATGTATGTACAAAATAATAAAAGCAAGATTTCAAGCTTTGCTTCATAAGCTGAGCCGAGACATTTCGTTACATTATTTGAGAAATGTTTTATGTTATGCTGCCACAACATCAAATACAGCATGTACATATTCATATATGCATATGTATGTGTATTGTAGCACAGTTTCATATTTGTAAAAAACTTCCCGATTTCCAAAAAAAGCATACAATACTTTTTATAAATTGTTCAACGCATTGCCTTATACATACATACTTACTGTCAGCGTCAAAAGAAAGTGTACACCTTTTTCTCATACATTTCACTCTTTATCTTAGTATAGAAAATAAAAAAAATTTCAAATCAACTACCATTTATAAATGATTAAATATTGTACTTACAAAATAATGAATAACAATCCACAAAAAAATCAAGTACAAAAATTATATAAGCAAAACCAAATATTCTCAGTTTTTAATGCTTCAAAATAGTGTCATTTGTAATTTAATATATATATTAAAGCGACTAAATGAAATTATACTGTTTAAGAGGCACACCTAGGGTAATAGTCAAAAAAGCCGGTTTAGGGCATTGGGTTAAAAAAAACGACTGTATCAATTGTTTATTTTAAGGGTATACATACATAGTATTTTAAAAATACACAGCAAAAATTTTGGAAAAAAACCGACAGTGGTAAAAAAAAAACTTTACTGCTGTCGTGATTCCGGCCTGAAAAAATATCGGCATTAAAAAAAAAAGTTGGATTTGAACTAAAATTTTGGTTGCTTTTGGTAAAAATTCGATTTTTCGTCAGATCAAAAAATTGATCATTGTATGAAGAACTATATAGAGAACATGCGGAAATTCGTTAGTTATTGCATTAGTTGTCTCCGAGTAATCTTTTAAACAAATTTGAAAAAAGTATAATGTAGAGAACGCGTTTAAAGATAAACTGCTCGAGCTGATTGTAATGAGCGGCTAATTTCAGAAAACCGTAACGCAAAAGCTATTAGATACATCGATTTTAAATTTTAGTATGTTATTATTAAAGTTATAACCTGTAGAAATTTGATAATCCATTTTTTTTTAATTTCACACAAGGTGTGCTCCTTTAATGTATATTATATTATAAAAAAGTTTTTAAAATATATTTTTGAATCAATAACAATCCATAATAGGAAGCAATAAACAGTTTACCAATTGAAAAAATAGAATAAAAAAAATTTCAAGAAGTCTTCGTAATATATGTAAAATGCACTTTAAATCACGAATTTGAAATACAAATAAATATTTATAATTATTGTGTGTCAAATTACTTTTATTAAAATTTATTTTTAATTGCCATATCTCAGCAAAAATTTTCAAAATTTGATTTAAAACACGGAACACTAAAATCAATCGATCATTTTTGAACAGCATCTTTAATAGACTTCAGAGCTGGAATATTTTCGAAATAGCTGTCAAGAAGGAGTTACCATCCGGTTTGTATATTGTTAGCATAGTTTTAAAAGGGAACGTACATATGTATATACAAACATAAACATATATACATATATATGTAAAAGTGTCTTCGATTTCTTTAGACAAATAAGCAAGGGAGAAAATATGGTTCCCGCTTTTTAAACCAAAACTATTTATGTACATACAATATTATATAATATAATGTGTATGTATGAGTGCATGTGATATGTAACAATGATAATAATAATGAAAATTTCAAAGTAATTTTTGAACTCACGAAGTTTGTAACTCGCAGAAGAAAACGTCGGAGACGCTATAAAAAAATATTTAAATGATCAGTGTAACAGGTTGAGTTAGTTTAGGCTCTCAGTTTTTGAGATATCACTCGGAAAATTTGCACACGTCCATTTTTCTTTAAGAAGCTGCACTTGTGTGGGAAACGCCAATATTGTACCTCTACATATATAGGACATAGCTGCCATACAAAGTGAACAATCAAAATCAAATCCTTGTATGGAAATATCACGACATTTTTCACATGTTTTTGTTTAAAGCAAAGTTATAATCTCCGAAGAAATTGTTAAGTTCGCACTACTATAG